TGGATGGTGATTACTGGAAATGAGAGTAAAAATTACTTTTACTTTGGATTTTCTAGAAGGCTTCAAGGAACTTGGGATTTGAGCTGTGCAGGTTTGACAAAATTCCAAGAGGCAAAAGAATGTCTTTGCTATTGGGGTTTGGTTCGCTCACACCTTTTTGTAAGACTATCTGGTATACTGGATTTGATGACTATTTAAAATTATAGTTCTTAATTAGGATGTGTGCTTGAATGGATAGTAGTCATTTGAAAGTCATTAACACATAATAGCATCTGGGTTTATTTCAGAATTGTTGCAGTGAAGCAGTAATTGCTATTTGCTGTAAACTTTTGGCAGGTTGGTAGTAATTCGAAACTCAACTGCTGGTCGAAAGTAAGTCATGTTGAATCATTGGAAACTGTCAATAGTTGACTTTTTTATCCCCAAAGTGGCAATTTTATATGGTTCAACCTAACAGTACATTAAGTATAATCATTCTAGAAATCCAAGTAAGAATCTAATCCAACAAAGCTCTATAATTATTGAAGGAGGTTCATGTAGTCTATAAGGAAAAATGTTAATTTGGTGTTTTTAAAAGGGTTTATCGGTGGATCACTTTAGGTTGAGAATCATCTTTCTCTTCTATATTACAAGTACTGAATTAAGGTGCATAAAAATGCCCCTTGGTAATTAGTTTTTAAAAGAGGATTTCCACCAGTTCATTCACTTGCCTATTTCTTCCTTTGATAATTTGAAAAGATGATATAGGTCCAAGTACAGAATTGGGAATTATATCATAGTTTCTTCTGTATTCTGTTTTAACTAGAGAGGGCTGGATTAGTTAATCTCTTAAGGGCTCTTCTAATATTAATATAACTTGAGTCTAGTCATGTGGAACTCTTGAGTAACACTTAAACCATAATAAGGAATATGCTGAGTTAAAGTGGTAATTTATATATGTATCATCACAGACATTTCCAACTATGCTGTGTGCAATCTACAGATAACAAAATCAACTACAGTTTTTCACTGACATTCTCAGGTTTAAAGGTCCACTATTAAGTATACTGAACAGCTTTCCACATTTATTTCAGTGACTGGTATGATTTTTGGGTGAGGGGTATGTATGAAATTAACATTTTCTGAATGTTTTCTGCCCTTTTCACTTGATACATTAACTGTCAAATGTAACTACTCATTTTCTAGTTTAGAGACTATTTTCATTACAAAAATATTCCCAGTTTTTCTAGGTTAATCAGTTTACACTTAACTTGTCTGCAGCTTATACCCAGTACTTTAAAACTTTTTTTAGCTTGCTGTTTTCAGGTTGTAAACAATTACATTTGTGATTTCATTAATTGAAACAGCAAGTGTTAACATGTTCCAGATTATATTTTAACACTGGGTCAGGAATAATAGGTAACACTGGATAGAAGCTCTTTCTATATCCTGTTGCAAAGGCAACAGTTGGTTGTAAGTAAAAGTAAGTAGGTAGCACTCTGAACAGTGCCAACAACAAAAAGCAGAATTTAGGTATTTAAATTTTCTTGGTACTCAAAGTTACTCTCAGTTTAAGACACTTTTAACCAAAAACCTCCTCTAGCATTCTGAGTGGTTTTAACCTCAGATTTACAGATTTTTCTATCACATGAAATACTTGAGACAATTTCTAAATTTTTATTGGAATTAACACGTTGGGGGGGGGGTGTTATTTACGCTTAATAAAATGTGACCCTGCTGCACATTTCTGAATTGTAAAACAGCTTTTATAGGTCATTGTGAATGGAAAGATGCTCTTTTATATATTCTCATTGAGACAGAACTCATTATTCTAGGTTAAAGTGTTGAAACTTCAAGTAACTTTAAATGAAATGTTCTGCCTTGTCAATTTAAAAAAAAATTATTTCTGATGCAGTTTTCTTTAATGTAAAGCATAGATTTTTAGTATGCTGAAGGCAACATAGCTTTTTATTGTGGCATAAACTTGTTTAGGGTTTACCCTTGTGTTAAGTTGGTAAGTTACCTCGTTTTCTCAAATTAATAGTCGTCTGTTTTAGAATAGAACAAATTAAGGATAGCAGAAAGCACCATATAACCAAGCTTGTAGATTCAGAGTGTATAGGTATGAGTGTGTATTCTACCTTTTTTCACACAATTCCTTGAGTAGTTTGAAAGGAAGAGAATTTGCTTATAGCTCTATGGGGAAAAGATATAACTTGTGGGTCACTCATTACAGCCCACTATGATCATCAGCAAAGCAGTTTTTATAAAGCAGCATAGGACTAATGGCAATCCTGAAGCCCAGTGAAGGCAAAAGGGGCCAAGTAGGGAAACTAAATCTCTGGTATGCCTATTTAACATTTTACACTGGGTAGGAATTCCCCCAAACCATGTCTATTGAGAACTAATAAAATACATGGAGAACCAAATTGTGAACATACATAGTATTTTGGAGATGACATCCAAGACTTACAGTCCCACTAGCTAGCTAATCTCAGAAACCATTTGCTCTGGCCTTTTGTTTTTCTATCCATAAAATACAGAGGAATCCTCACAGGTTTTGAATTCATTATATAACAATTCTGAGCACACTGAGGTGGGTTGCTCAAAGTTGCCTGGCTGCTTGCTATTAACAGAAGTTTGACTTGAAACCTGGACCTCCTTTCTCATGTGTTCAACTATATCCTCCTTACCTTTTAGAAAAAGCCTGTCTGTAAGCATTGACTGATAAAAGACAAAGGTCACAAACTAGAAATGTAATGACAAGTACCGGACTGACATCTAAGTACCACCAAGAAAAACATCCCTGGGTATTTTACTTGTAAAAAAACCACAGCGCAGAGGTTAGCAGCATTGAATTTGGGATTGAGAAGATCCACTTTCTCACCCAGCATGTTGCTTTGACAACCTCACTGAACTTGTTTCCATACTTGTATAATGTACCTAACAATAGTAACTACTATTGAGATATACAGAGAAAATGCTTAGCACAGTGCTAGCAGTCAATAAATGCTAACATTACAAAATATTTTGTAAGAAAAAAACTTAAAAAGGTGAAGGCTCTTTCAAGTAGTGACTCTATAGCATCTTACCACACTGATGGACTGTGACTGCAATGGGGTGTGTAGGGGGAAGTCAGTAATATAGGTGAATGTAGTAACCACAATGTTGCTCATGGAAGCCTTCATAAGATCGTATATCAATACCTTCATTTTTTAAAGAAGTAATTTAAAAAGTAAAAAAAAAAAAAACGCTCTTTGATCATACTAACATCAATTACTATGATCTAAAAGGTCTCACAGACAACTTTTTCTTCCAAAGAAAAATGTTAGGTAAGTATACCTACTACATGAAGTCTTCCTTTTTAGAGCAAATGCTTGATTGCCTGTGGGCATATTATCACTTTGAAAGTTTTACTGTTTCTTCCTTTAAGGTCTTGTTCATGGGAACTTTTTACTTTGGTCCAAAAGACTGAAGTAAAAGATTAGTAAGCTAAAATACAGTTGGTCCTCATTATTAGCAGGTCACTTAATTTACAAATTCACCTATTTGCTAATTTGCAACCCCAGACTCAACACTTGAGGTTTTTGCCTGACCATCTGTTGACATGTGGAGTAATGAAATATTTTAATCACCCAGTGCCTATTGTTTTCATGGTCCATTTAGTGCCAAGTGTTCACATTTGTGTGCTGCTCCTTGGTAATATCCTTGTTTAAAATGATCCAAGCTTAGTGAAGTGCTGCCTGATGTTCCTAAATGCAGGAAAGGTAGTTTGCCAGCATGAGGTACAGTGTTGGCTGTGAGTTTGATGGCAATGAATCAATAATATATATTGATTAAGTTGTCTTTCGAGAGAGAGATACATAAAGACAAGGTAATGCACTGATCAGTTGATAGAAATGATGTGACCAGGATGACAGGCACCTGTATTGCCCCTAGAGCAGTTCAGTATTTGCTAATTAAGTGTTCTGTGACTACAGAACATACCTACTACCAAAAAAAAGCAAATATGCTCCAGTTGTGAAATGCTTCAAACACATTCCAACACTATTACCCTCCCATATTTTGACCTTGAAAGTCTGTTCTCCATTAATTACTTTAGAATGATTTGAGAGTTTAGATAGTATAATTTATCACCTTAAAGCTAAACAATAAAATTCCTGTTGCTGATCACAGACGAGGTTGACTAGGTGTTTTACCTCAGATGTTTATAAAGGTTGTCTGGATAACATCCTTAGATGCTTTGTTAGACCAGTGTAGTAAGTCATTTGCCCTCAAGTGTGACTTAAATGTATATCATTACATAAAATCTCAAGAGTCCAAGCTGGGAATTTTGATAACTGAGGGCATTTCAGTTTCGCTAACTGAATTTAAGTTTGGTCATAATACATGCAAAGCTTATAACCAATTAAAATAATTTATAAATGGTCAGTTTAAGCAGCTAGCTGACTACAGTGTTAAGTACTTTTTTGATTAAAAACAAGAATTGTATTTTCAAATCTTTCGTCATACTCTCAATTTTTAGTATATGAAATCTTAATTCTGCCAGTGATAATATACATACCTAGATCAGTATCTTAGGCCAGGGTTGTCACTAAATTCACTTTTAAATTCAAGGTCCCAGGCAGCTGGGCCAGGTTTCTGTACTCTGAATACTGATTCTTCCCAGTGAGTCTCTACTATAATAACCTTTGCTAATTCATCATACAGACTACACTGTATTTTAATTACCAGTTTGTCTACCATTGGATTGGCAGCTCCTTGAGAGCAGACTGTCATGTTCACTTTGCCTTGAAGTAGGTATACAAAACTATCTGCTAAATGAATAACGAACAATACTTATATTCAAATGGTATTTATCCAGGGAGTATTAATTGCCAAATATTCTATAATCTGATTTATAAGAAAATGGATTTAGCCTGTGCTAAATCATTTTTAAAACTTGCAGCTTTGAGTATTTATTACAAAAAGCTGGTACTCATACACATAAACTAGTAAGAACTTAAAATTCACAAATTTACTTCATTTTTTAGCTTGACCTTCTAGTAAATCTTTAGCTTCATTGATTTTGGCTGCTATATAAGGGGATCCTCCTACAGAAAGAAAAAGGAAATAGTTATAATATGGAATCTCAACTTCTGCTTCATCAAAAGTTACTCTCGTTTCAAGAATCCCTAGGCCTAGAAGTGAAATTAGCAGAAGCACATTGATTTTTAAAAATAAGACACCGGGTCACCAAACGTGGTAATGCATTTGACCAAAAATGGGAAATGAGGTAATTCCCATGAGGCAGATTTCCACAAAAATGGCATCCTTTAAAAAGGCTTCAGCTGATACCCCCATACTCAGGTGACTTTGAAATGGTGTTAAGTTACCAATTCATGAAGATTACAATCATGAATGAAGATCAATTTATGGTACTGTAATATTTTAAAACCATCATACACTTAGTGGCTTCTGAGCAGAAGACCTCATTTTGCTTAGGTCCTTTTCTGTGCATATTTTTTCTCTTTTCCTGTTACTGTCCCTTCACAATGCCATCTAGAGCAGTGTTTTTTTACTGATCTAGAGCAGCGACTCTCAAAGTGTGCTGTCAGAGCAGAAAGCACTGGCATCAAGAAGCTCGGCAGAAATACAAACTTGAGGGCTCCACCCTAACTAAGCCTAGTGAATCAGAAGTCTCCAGTTAATACAAGTTAAGTTTTATAAAAGGGGCTGTAGAGTCATACCAAACAATTACAACACTCTTTAAACTCAAAACCCTTTTAATGAGAGGAAAATGGATTTTTGTGATCTGTATTTTGGTATTGTTTTTCAACATAGCCAATGCTGCTTAGACATATCAGAAACTAAAATACATTCTATAGGTTTCTAGATAACCTCTAGTTCAAAGGTTTAAATGGATAGGAAAAATACTACATTTTTAGTTTCATTAACTGAAATTTGACATTTCTTTACTTAAGAATGTATACTGTCCCTTCCCCAAAAGTAGTATTAGTATTTGACATGAGAAGTCATATTTAACCACATTGCAGATTGCAAAACATTAGTGCTTATCACTACTTCTAAATTACAGTGTCTGATCATTGTATTATAAATATATTTTACTCAGATTTTATTCTTTTAAGACATCAAAAACAAATGGATCCAGCCTAGGAGAGAGTGCTTACACGAGGATTTAGGCATTTCCCTTAAAACACTCGAGAATTAGATATAAGATTATTCCATTAATACAATTAGTCACTCCAACAACATACATAACAGGAATTTAATGACTACTTACCCTTGTCTGGGTGATTTAGAAGCATAATTCGTCGATGAGCATCTCTTATTTTTCCTTTATTGGCAGTAGGGCTAATTTTAGAAGGAAAAAAGGTATTGTTTGCATCAAACTACTGGATTACGTAAAAAAGTTGTACATAAAGGCCAATTAAAGATACTGTGAAGCAGGACTAAATCAACATGTATGAAAAGCTATTTAAGAATCTCTTCCCCAACATACAAGGAAGATGAATATTCTTAATTGGAACTAAACGGCTACTTAGAGAAATAAGGCATTTTCAAAAAAATTTAGTTGAACTTGACAATATGCATTACAACAGCGCTTTTATTTGGGAAAGAAAGCATTTTCAAATATTTGTAAATGAAGGCAGTTTCCCACCACAATTGTTACACAGAGAACATTGAGCACTGACTACCTGTTGAAAAGTCTACCTTCCCAATGAATTAAAACTGCTTATTTTATGTGTCAGTGTGCTTTTTCACTGGACTTGTGTAGGAGTGGGTAGATCTTAAAAATATCCTTAATACAGTAACTCCCTAACAAAAGGACAGTCTTTCGTGCATTTGCTCATCGCTCTAGAATTGTGGAAAAATTATATTAAAAATATTAGAAATTACCTTACACCTAGTATTAATGCTGCTTCTCGTTTTGTCATTTTGGGTTCAAATCCACCTCTGTAATAGGCACCACTGAAGGCCTAATAGAGGAAATGTACTTGTCAGAAGATTATTAGAATAAACTAAAAGTTGCTTCAAATGTCTGTAAACGCTCATAGAACTAGCAGAAAAACAGACATTTCAGGAATATTAAGTGCAATGCCCATGATTTAACTTTTTAAGTATCAACAAATATTTTAATGATAATTAAAACATCTATTTTTCCCAAAACTGTCTTGAAAATATGAGATAAAAGAACAGTTGCCTCAAATTCAGTGTTCTGAAAGTGAAGGGAAGATACTCCAAGTTAGCCAAGTTCTAGATACAAATTTTATCTCAGAATATGACTATGTTTTACAACAAGAAGTACTTCAAGAAGAGAATTTGGAGATCTTTTAACAGCAAGTGGTTCAAGGCAACAACTAAAGACTAAGATACATATTATGAAAATCAGGCTATCAGGTTGTCTGATGTCATGCCAGATATCGAATTGGTGAAGCCTACCATCATGCCATTTGTCAAAATACTCAATAGGCTCTTCAGAGCCAAATTCATTCTGAACTGTGAGCACAAAAGGATGATCATGACATCCAGTCATAGTCCATAGCCTAATTAACTGTAACGCTGCCCAAGTATCAAATTGGAATGCCAGGGCTGCAAAGTAAGGGAACAGATCACCTCAGATCCCCAGATCCCTCTGTGCTTGTGGATACAGAACAAATGAGGGATGGCAAGAATGTTGACACAAGACACTGATGTTACTAGTATGTGAACAATAAAGTGACACAATCACTATACTAGAATTGTTAACACCTCTGCCCCAATTCTGTCACACAAAACATTTGATTTTTTAGAGTTAGCACCATTACAAAGCTTAGGACTTCAAATCTTCCTTGTGGGAAGCAAGAAAAGGCCCAAGGGAATAAGAACTTCACAGATATTTGAAAATTCACCCTCTGCAAGTGTGGCTCTAAGGCTTCATACACAGCCAGCAAAGAATTCCCAAAAATGTTTATTATGTCTTACAGATTTTGGCAGACTTTGAAAAACTTGTTTTACTTGAGGCTCCATATGCTTCATGGCTTGCAAAACATAACGGCCTGGAAACAAAAGCAACAGAGTAATTAAAAAATCCCCAACCTCCCCTAACTTCACTTACATCCTCAAACCACAAACAAACCTGCAAATCCTGCAGCAGCAATGGTCAGTCCAACTGCTACCACTGTACTGGCCTGGTAAGGGGAAGCAGAGTAAATATTTACTTCTCTAATTCCCACCTTCCCTATCATTACCATTCTTCCAATACAACTCATTACAACTTTTATTTCAACGAGAGAATTTTTAGAATGAAAATACTCTGCCCAATTATCTCTTAAACGTGCACTTTTATATCCAATTGTATAGGTATGGGACTTCACTATGGAACAAAAGGGCAAGTAGATTAGCTTATTTTTACTATAGTTAAAAGGATGATTTCCCTCCCTTTGAAAATCTTTCATCACTGGGCAAATGAAGTCACACTAGAGTTGAGTCAAGAGCAATGAAATAGAGTTTCTGCTAGAAAAGGAATAACTGCTGACAGAGTTCCTGTAAAATTCTGATAACGCAGGTCAACGTTCCACGTGGGCCTAACTAGGGGGCTAGTTTTTCAGTGTCTTCAACACTGTCGCTCCTCGCAGTTACAGAAAGGAGGGAGTCCCAAATACACTCAGGAATCCATGTGTCGGTAGGAGCCAAAAGAAAGGACACAGAAAGGAGAGAAAATACTGTGAGGATGTGTTAGGGGAAGGGCAAGTATAATCAAATGCGTTTCCACTCATCTCCAAGCCCTGGGACAGCGAACCAGGCAGGGGTCGGAGCCCCCGGCAGACGGGTGGTGTAAGAACACAAAGGCGAGGGAGGGTAGGCCAACAGGTCATCATTTGCGTTCTGGAGAATGTGACTCCGGGGCCCTGCAGTCCCAGCCCAGAGTCGAACTACGGAGACAACCTCGGCTGCTGCCCGAGACTGTTTAAGCTGAGGCTGAGGCCTAAGCCCGAGATCACCCAGGAGACCGGAAGGCTGCACTCACCATGGCTCTGGCTCGGCTCCCCTGTCTCCACTGAGGGCGCGGTTCATCCCAGCCCAGAGGCCGCAGCCGCGCGCCCCGCACCTCCACAAGAAAGCGCGGCAGGAATCCTCAGCAGGCAAAGGCTGCCCCGGACACTGGCGCCACAGGAAATACGGCAGCGGCGGCCGCAAACTAGGACGGAAAACTGCCGTAAAAGGGGCGGGGAGGCAGTGGGCAATGGGGGGAAGGTCTCTCAAACTGTGGGCAAGTGCGGAGCACGATTTGGGATTGGTTGATGTGTGGGCGGATGCCTCCTTGGCTCAAAGGTAGGTGGGTCTGTCTTGCCCTTCGCGCTTGGGCTGAAAGTATTTACATATTCCTGCGGAGAAGGGCGTTCATGAACAGATACTGTGTGTGCCTACTCAGAACGTTTTTACTCCCTACCTCTCAGCACCTCCGTTTGCCATTTATTTTGTTTGGAATTGTCAAGAATATTGAATATCCTTTAACATGCCTTTCCACAGTGAAGCCAAATAAAAATTTAGCAGCCCAATATAGCAAACGAGAGTATGTCCCAGAAAGCAAAACAAACAAACCACCCAGTGTTGCAGGGGTTTTTCAGTAGCATCCTTATATTTACAATTATTTTATTTAAATATGTGACTTGACAAGATTACATGTGAACGGGGTTTTGTTTTGTACAATGGAATTACAACTTCAAAGACAGTTAATATTTCTGAGCATGGAATCTCAAAATCCCAACTGAAAAACGTTGTTGAAAGTGTGTCTCCCTTGCTTCAAAATAAAAATATAGGGTTTGGTTTTGCCCTTACAGGTCATGCGTTTCACATATCCCTACATAAAAGCTTGAGAAAAGTAAGGGAGACAATATGGAAGTTTTACAATGCGATGTTGGGAGGATCAAAATAAATTTGGAGTTACTTTCCTCTTAGAACTTAACAAAGTGTTAGAAATCTCTTTACATTGCAATGAAATTCTGCTTTGATGAGCTGGTTGATTAGGCAGATAAGCAAATTTGTTGGCTTTGCTTTTCTCATCTATAAAAAGATTCTACTAGCCCTGAGGTTTTTGTAATGTCTAATTTATTTTTAATAAATGATCCAACACTAAGACAATAGTGTTAAGTGTACTTCTTCCTCTTTAGTTTTTCTTTAATCTAGCTTTTACCCAACAATTACAAAAGAAATAATCAAGTGAAGCCTAAGACCTTGGGACCAAAATGGCCAGAAACAACCTAGACAGCTGCCTGAAAAAAACTTATTATGTTTTTGGTATGTACAACTTATGGCATATAGCTTGCTTGAGTAATAAGTTACCATACAGCCCAGCCTGAAGAAACCAGCGATGGGTAAATACAGGGAGACATTGGTTGAGATGAAGATAGGTATGTTTGTGGAGGCAAATCAAACTAGATGTTTTACCTGGCTTTGCCAGTAGTTGTGTGAATCTGGACAGTTATTTCTAACTCAGTTTTCTCATTCATAAAACAAGGATAATTATGACTACCTCACCACATTTTTGTGAGGATAGAGATTATATACATAGTGTGCTCTGCGCATAATTATCACCCAGTGTGTGGCCATTATTATTATGAGGAAAGTCAGAATTCAAACAGGTATGTACAGGCTTTCCCAATTTTCATGACATTTCACTCATGGATATTAAGTTTGGTATTTCCTTTGGTACCCACTAAGGCCATGGAAAGAACCTTTAAAAGTAATCTCTTTAAATGTCCATCAACTAATGAATGGATTGTTCGGTCCGTGTAATCGACCTCCAAATAACTGGGAGATGCGTGGATGCAAAAGCAAGAGCGTTTATTGGGTAGCCAGCATGCTGGGGTCTGGCACTTGCAGGTGGAGATCCCAAAGTACACGTTCATTCTCCTTTTATACAGAGGATTGGGGTTGTGTGCAGAGCAGGCCGTGCGCAGACCTGGCCTTGTGCAGATCGGCCATGCACAGAGTGGACCATGCGCAAAGGGGGCCTAGATATGACCTGACCTTCACTGTAATTGGTCTCAACTTGTTCACTAACCATTTGGACCGGTTCTTTCTAGGTGGAGTGACACTCCTGATCTCTGGGTGGGTGAGCCGTTCACCTTCCACTGGCCGGGAGAATCCGGCCAGCCCTGTCTTTTACAAAATGAAGTCACTTATAAAATGGAGTAGCTTATGTCAAGACTCTTTAGTCAGGGCTCTTCAGGATAAATAATCATTCTTTGTTTATTCTAGCTTCTGGTGACTGCCAGCATTCCTTAACTTGTGACTGCAGCACTTTGATCTTCAAGGAATGTGGGTATCTTGAGATCTCTCTCTACTCTGTCTTCCCATTTCCTTTCTCTTCTGTGGGTAGAATCTGTTCTCTTCTTAAATTATATGTAAAATTGCTTTTAGGGCCCACCCCTATACTCTAGGAGAATCTCCCCATTTTAAGACCCCCAATTTAATCATAGGCCATTAACTTAATCATAGCTGCAAAGACTTTGCTATATAAGGTAACATTCACAGGTTCTAGATTTTAGGACCTGATATCTTTGGGGGCCATTATTTAGTCTACTGTAAAGAATAAGAGAAGACAAAGGAGGGAACTAGCAGGGGCAAAAGAATGAGAAAAGACTGAAGCCCATCTTCTCAGTTTTTCCCCCCAAACTTGTTAGTTATGTAAGTCACTTCTTGGGGAAGAAAGTGAGAGATGAGAGGGAATAGTAAGAAGTATTCTTGCATTGTGGCTCTCAAGTACTTTTTGACCATATCTCTTAGTAAGAAATATATTTTACATTGTGATCCAGGGAACAAATACATATGTGAACACACATACACACACAAATGCACATTTAATTTAATGTGTATTTCAGTTTAATTTAATTGAAATTAATGTTTTCAAGATAATAGTTATCCTTACTTCCTGAGAAGCATGCTGGTCTTTTTTATTAAAAAAAAATAAAATGCAGGGAAACCTATTACGTTTACAACCCACTAATTGGTCAGAACCTGAAAGCATCAATTTTGGAAACCATCACTCCATAAAATCCACAATTGGAAACATGATGCCAGGCAAATAAGAGTTGTTTTTTCTTTTTCTTAAAAACTATGTGCCCTACATTGTTCTAAATGTTTTGTGTAGATTATTTCACTTCACTCCATGACAACTTATTTCTGTTTTGCAGCTGAGGATATTTTGTTAGATACATTTGTTTTTTCCTCTGGATCCCTTCTTTTCCATTTTCCATTCTTCTCTGTGTCCCAGAGGGATATAGAAGGCTTGGAAGCTGACCTTAATGGACTGCTTCATTGGGCTTTCTTGTCTTTTGGTTTAAGATACAGTTATGTCCATGATCAGAAGATCAGCAGGCAGGAGGAAGATGAGTTCATAGTCTTTATTTCTCCTTCTTTCTTCCTGGTGGTTGCCACAGGCTGGCTGAGTTTGTCCACTGGAAAATATAGCTCCTGATGCATGTAAGTGTTCAGGTAATTATTCCCATTTCTTGCTTCTTGAGGTCTATGGGTACTAGTGACTCTATTGGCCCCCACTGCCTTGCTAGATACACAGCTCTTGACTGTCATTTTCTAGTTTCCCTTAATCCTGTCTTTGTGAACTGTCTCTCTGTTAAATCCTTCTCAGTTATTCCAATTGCGTATATCAACTGTCCAGCATGGATGGGGACTGTTATGAGAGTACTACAAGAATTCAAGTAGGAGATAATGGTAATGGTGGAAGTGGAAAGAAGTGGCTAGACTCCTGCCTATGTTTTGTAGGATGAATTGATAGAGTCTGCTGTTGGATGACATGTCATGTATGAGAGAAAGGAAGGATTCAAGAGTGACTCTAAAGCTGCTTTAGAGTCACTGGAATGGCTGGAAGGATGGGGTTGTTGCTTAGTGGGACTGGAAAGACTTCAGGAAGAGCAAGCTGGGATGGGAGCCTTTGTTGTGTTGAATTTGCAGTACCAAGTAGGTATGTAAGGAGTGTTTTCCAGTATCATTTGGATATACAAGTTTGGTGTCAAGGGAGAGGTCTGGGAGTCATCAGCCCATTGATGGTTTTCAAGGTCATGTAACAGTATAAGGAGTATAAGGAGAGTGTTTTTATTTTTGTTTTTTTAAGATGAAAGAAATAAGAGTGTGTTTATCTGTTATAGGAATGATCTTACAGAAGGGAAAATTTCACAAAATTTGTTGAATTATATAATTCAAGAATGAGAAGAAAATGTAAAAGCGGCTTTTTTTCTCCAACACCTTTGTTTTATAAATGAGAAACACAGGCCTCAGAGGTTACCTGACTTTTCTAAAACCCTGGAATAGTCTAGTAACTGCTCAACCTTATTGTCCACTTGCCGTATGTATAATGTTAGGGTTATAAGATGACAGGGCAATAGAATTGCTTTTCCCTATATTTCCTTACCATTCTTTTTAGGAATTATCTCTGAATTAATCGAGTTTAAGTTCTTGACTAGCAGCCCTTTAACCCATGGAATCCTCTGTAGGCAGATGCTCACATAATGTTATCTGTAAAACTACATGGCGCTCAGTATACTTCCTCCCCTTTCCTTCATTCCACCTCTTTTTATCCTCTTCCCTCCTTTCATTCAGTGATCCTGCCACCACCTGACAATCTGCCATTGGGAATTCATCCTACTGTCCCCTGTTTGGCTATGAATATTCTTGGTAAATGATCATAGTGAGCTATGATCAACAGCTCCTCTATGAAGTATTTTAAGAGATATTTTTCGTCCTTATAACTAGTTAAAGAAATACTTTAATTGCAGAGCAGCAAGGAAGAAAGAAAAGAGATTTAGAGCAACAGAGAGTGAGGACAGGCCTTGGTAAGAAACCAGAGGGGATGCCGGCAAGTCAAAAAGGAAGACCCGAGGCCCAGCCGCTCTTTCCTAGAAAAGGCTTCATCTGTATCCAAGTTAGGTGGCCCTGCTCTGCCCTGTGGCTATTATAAAATAATTCATAACTATTTCTCCTGTGATTTTTCTCTCCCCTTTCCTTGATTCATTTTTTTTCTGCCCTGCATCTGTTTTAGTCTGACTTCCTACTTTCCTTTCAAATTATAAGAATTGTTATCTGTATTTAGTCCAGAGCATGTGAGTGGAGGGCCAGTCAAAAACTGCAGTGTGTTTGACCAGAGTGACAGTACCAAGGAGGCATGTTTTCTGGGTAAAGACTCTGCTTTCTACTCAGGCTGTGAGGAAGGGAAACTGAGGCACTCAGGATTTCAGTGGAAACTTAGAAATTGGGGTAGTCTCAGTGCTTTTTCCCAAATGGAGATTTCCCAACCAAGCCTCCATTTCATTCCA